AAAGACTCGACTTCAGACACAAGTTTGTTCCGGTACTCGGCGATGTGTTCCCGAGAAATATTGGCACGGCCGGTGTATAGAGCATCACCAGTGCTGCCGTCCGCATAGCAATGAATGTTACCAGTTAGCAACATATCATTGATATGGAGAAGAAACAGCGTTGGTGATAGCACACAGCCTTGTGGAACACCGGCGTTAATAGGCTTGTAGTCGGAGCATGCACCGTCTACAACGACCTTGATGCTCCGATCTGCAAGGAAGCTGGTGATCCAATTGCATAATTTCTCGGGAAGCCCATAGGAAGGGAGCTTCGAAAGAAGCGCTTTGTGCCAAACCCGATCGAAGTCCTTCGCAATGTCCAGACTAACGGCCAACGCCTCTCCCTTGGACTCTACTGCCTCCGCCCATCTATGGGTCAGGTAGACCAGAAGATCACCAGCTGATCGACCCCGACGAAAACCATACTGGCGGTCACTAATCAGCTGGTGATCCTCAAGGTACCGCATGAGGTCTTTCTTTTCTTTTTTTAAAAACGTTACCCCCACACTAGGATTTTCTCCTGTATCGTGGAGGCAGTTTACAAACACAAATTTCACAAGGACAAACATCCAGACCCGGAACAATCATTTGTAGGCCATACAAATACTTGTTCCGTGCGGGATTCGAACCCGCGCCCCCCAGCGCAGCAACTCATTGCTAAGCCACTGCGCCACGGAGCCGTCTGCCGAGGTGGCCGTTTATAACGGATTCCATTATTTTGGAGAACAAGAGGGTGATGGCGATAGGCCTGTAGTTGGACGGGTCTGAGCGGTCGCCTTTTTTAAGGATCGGGTGGACAAAAGCTGTCTTCCATGATTTCGGGACTACGCCTACGGAGTAGGAGTACCGGAAAAGACGCGTTAGAACCGGTGCCAACTCCGGAGCACACGTCCTCAGCACAATTGGGGGGATTCCGTCAGGCCCACTCGACTTGTGGATGTCAAGGGAGAGGATTGCTCTGCGAACCGAGCGCTGTGAGAACCGCACATCCGGCATGGAGGACTCACACCGCGGGATGGTCGGCGGTGTGTTCTCCCCGTCATCAACAGTCGAGTTGGACGCAAAAAGAGAGCCTAAAAGGTCAGCTTTGTCTTTTGCGTCTTGGGCCAGTGAGTCGTCCTCCCTGTGCAGAGATGGTAGTGATGGCTTACAGAAATTCCCTTGTACAGCCTTGGCGAGAGACCAGAATACACGGGTTCCCGAAGGAAGGCGAACTAGTTCCTCGCCAATTCTGCCTATGTGCTCTGACTTTGCCTTGGCAATAACTCTTTTGAAGGACCTGGAGGCGAAGTTATACTTCTTTTTAAGTGTGCTGGTGCTTACATCCCGAGTCGCCGAAGCCGCAGCCCAGGCTTGAAAACACTCCTGCTTACTGCGTAATGCAGTCTTACAGGAGCGACCAAACCAAGGCTGAGATCTGCCTCCGATGGGTACCACAGATGAAGGAATAAATAGTTCCATTCCCTGTAGTACCACATCAGTGACAGAGTCAGCAACAGCGCTGGGATCATCCGGCGAGAAGCAAACCCGCCCCCATGGGTAGGATGCAAAGAAAGACCGCATCTCGTCCCAATCCGCCGACCTGTAATGCCAAACACGGCGGCAACCTGCAGAACGCAACCGCGAAGGGAGCGTGAGTGGCACCACACTCCCGATCAGACAATGGTCCGAAGAGCCGAGAGGGGCATCGACGGAAACCTGATATCCGTCCGGATGAGAGGTCAGCAGAAGGTCCAACAGGGAAGGTGTATGATCCTCCACATCTGAAATCCACGTAGGCGAAGTAACCAGTTGTGTCAGACCATATGCCAAGGCAAAGTCATAAACAGATCTCCCCGCATGATCGGTTAAACGTGAACCGAGCCATTCGGCGTGGTGGGCGTTAAAATCGCCAAGGATCACGATCTCTGCGGATGGGACCTGTTGTGGCAAGGAATCTGTAGCCATATGGACGTGGTTGATGAGTCGGTCTGTTTCGGCATTACCGCTATGGGACCTATAGAGGCACCCGTAGACGCGCGGATGGTCGTCGCTGTCTACGCGTAACCAAAGGATGGACAGGTCCGAACCTTCAAGACTGCCGAGGCGTCGAGAACAGATCTCCTCTCTGACATACACGCAAACTCCAGCCCGAGGCACAAAGGAGTGCTCCAATTTGTACCCCGGGTAGGAGAGATACGAAATATCAGCCAGAGAGGAAACCTGCGTCTCGGTCAGAAAGAGCAAGGCCAGCTTCGCCGTCTCGAGATGGTAGTGGACGGCGTTTAGGTTAGAGTGAAGTCCCCTGATGTTGCAGAAATTCACGGATAGCGTGGCAGGAGTCGCCTTGGTATTGTTGCTCAGTTTGCCTCGAGCAGTTATGTTTTTGAGCGAAATCTCGCCCCCCCCCCCCCAGAATACGCGGGGCAGCCTGAGAACCCACGCTCAGGATTGGAATAACATGGTCGTGGATGCTCAGCGAGGGATTCTCCAGGGGTACTGGTACCCTCCTGGGGTAGTCTATTGTGTAATTCCGCTACCATGTTGATATAAGGGGGGGGGGGGGGGGGGGGAATTGGGCCTCCGGCCACCTGCACTCACCAGACGAAACGCAGAAGCAGAGCTTCTACTTCACGCCGGTATTCTGTGAGGTCGTGGTACCAACCCGGCTCGAGCCGGCCCATACGTGCAACAGCAAAAACTGCTGCATGGCTCCACCACCGTTAATTTTATATTGGATATTTAACTTTTTACATGAAAGAAGAGTTTTTGCTAAAGTTAATAATAATAATACAATTATTGGTCCTAGGCTCAGTTATAAAGGTGTTTGTCAAGGAGGAATATTAAGTCCTCTTGTCTTTATTTTATACATATTTAAATTAAGTAATATTTTAGGATCAAATGTTACTAATTTACAATATGCAAATGATTTGGTCATATATGCCTCAGGAACAAATGTCAAAAACTTGGTAACCAATTTAAATGAGGCTTTAAAGAAATTGCACATTTACTTTTCACACTTAAATTTAGATATTAGTACTGAGAAAAGTAAAGTTGTAATATTTCATAAAATTCGTCCATTTATCGCTAGAATGATTTATAATAATACATTTTTACCAATAGAAAGTTGTGCAAAATTCTTAAGTGTATTACAAATAATTTGTCTTGTACCAAATACGTGAATTCTATTTCAGACAGAGCTTCTAAGGCCTTTAATGTATTAAAAGCTTTGGCTAGTACTAACTGGGGAGCTGATCCAGAAATATTATTAATGTCATATCATTCTTTGGTCAGGAGCCATTTTGAGTATGGCTTCCTTTGTTTTGCATCAAATAAAAAACTAGTAAACAAATTAGATATTATACAAAATAAGAATTTAAGTCTTATTACCGGCTCTATGAGAACAACTCCTATTGTTTCTTTACAGGCTGAATGTCTTACTCCTCCTATCTTACTTATGTTTAAATATCTAAAATTTAGGTTTTTATTAAATATTAATTCTTTGTCTCATCATCCTCTTTTTCAAAAAGTATTATTTTACTATAATGGTATGTCTCCTATATCTAACTCAGCCCCATATTATACTCCATGACTTTCATGAAGTGATACGATATGATGAACAATATAATATTCACAAAAGCACACATACTTGGCCTTGTTATAAGGGGAATTATGAAAGTAAATTCAGTGATATACACATAAATATTGATGAAAAATTGAAAAGAAAAGAAGAGGTTTATGAACTTATATCTACATAATATTATGAATATCGACAAATTTACACAGATGGTTCAAAAGTTGAAGATAAAGTAGCCTGTGCATTTTACATACCTCATCTTAAAACTGGACGTGGCCTTTCCGTTCCTGCATTAGCAAGCATATACACTGCAGAAGGTTATGCTGTCTTAATCGCTCTTAAATATATAGAAGAACACCCACATGTATCTAATAAATGGTTACTGATCTCTGATAGCATGAGTGTCTTGAAGGCACTGAAGGCAAGAATTTTAGATGCTAAAACGTCTTTCATCATATATGAAATCAAAAGTTTGTGGTGGAAATTGAAAGAAAATAATTTGGAAGTTAAATTTTTATGGACTCCTTCACATATTGGTGTTCAAGGAAATGAAAGCGCAGACCATTTAGCTAAAAGTATCGTTACAGCTGATATTGACAAGATAACTGATATTGCAATACCATATACAGATTTATATTCAATTTTAAAGCAACAGTTAAAAGAAGAATGGAAAATGCAATGGAATGCTGTTTTAGAGGCAGGAAAAGGTCGTTGGTATGCATCAATTAATTCAGAATTAAGTATTCCTTGGTTTTCTCGTAACGAGAGATATCATAGCAGAAAATTTTATACAATAATGTGCAGACTTAGATTTGGCCACTATCAACTGAACGCGCATCCTTCCAGGATGAGAATAGTAACATCTGCAACATGCAACTTCTGCGATACAGAAGCAGATCAGACTGCAGAACATATAATATTTAACTGCCCAGCGTACGCCATAGAAAGATTGCTACTCATTGAAAAACTTATACAAGTTTATGAAAACTCAGAAAGCGTCCCACGTGCCCTGCAAGATGTTCTTAGGAATACTAAAACATATTTAGCACTTTGCAATTTTATTCATAATACTGTAAAAGAAATATGAAATATGGCATCCCTGTTTTTGAAAATATTGGATTGACAAATCTACATGGATTGAAACTTACAAAGATTATAATATAAAGAAGACTTGGCTTTAGCCTTTACGGTTTTTGAAAATATGAAGAATTAAAGAAAATAAGACTTGTCTTCGGCCTTTATGGATTTTGAAGAGATGGAAAGAAGAAAAATAAGACTTGGTTCCGGCCTTTACACTTTTAAATTAAAAAAGACAAGGCTGTATGGCTTAGTTCCTTTGCCTGCTCTCTCGAACGAATAATAAAAACAACAACAACAACTGTCTGTCTGCCAAATCTGTCAATTTGTTTCTGTTTCTTGATTTCTGCTCCTCTTTGTCAGTTCTAAGTTCTAACTTGAAATTATTTTCACAAATGGAATAAATTATAATAAAAGTTAGGCAATATTGTAAGGACTATTTTATTACTTTAAAAAATATGTTAATATTGTTTATTTTATACACAAGCTCAAAGTTATGTGATGTAAAAAAATGACGTGTATTTCTTCTTTTCATTTACCTCCAAATGTGCATTATAATTTAGCTTCCCCTTTAACGCTTTAAACTATCTTAGGTATTTTTTTAATTGAAACTAAACCCCATGATTTGACGCTTAAACACAGTTTTATAATATATTTATTGTTTAAGGTATAGCAGAGATGCAGTTCACATCTGAAGAAGCCTATGCTCGTCTCATTAGTCATAATATGACTGTGCCACAGCGAATCAAGGTAATTTTTTTATTATAATATACATGTAGGCTCAATTAAACAAACCTACAATTGACAAGATCAAATGCACTCTTTTGTCTGGAATGTAATACATAAAGGTGTATATGGAATATAAATTAACCATTTAGTGCAGTACGATACAAAAACTGAAAGCATACAAAGTAATAGGAAAGTTGTTGAATTAGCAAACTCCTTACTTCATAATGTTGAATGTTAAATTGTTTAATTCCAAAAACAGGATCCATTGATAAGGATATATTTATTAGAAACCTATTGATGCACTGTGTGAACCTTGCATTGTATTACCATTACTACTTAATATAAACAAGCACTTGTTTATTGCTAAGAAAGGTGTAGCCTGCCACTTGAGAGGATAAGACAACTTTCTGAAAGTCAATGGATACAGGTGGCTTAGGACCATTCTTCGTTGCATTTCTTGGAGGATGCCTAATGTCATGATGCCATGCTTAACATAAGCAGTGGACTTACATGATGTGTACGTATGAAGGTATGTTACTTATGAAGGGCTGTAACGTTTATGATGATGATGATAAAGTATCTATTGAAGTTGCAGTGCAGTTTGGCTGGCAATTGTAGTTTTTTATTATTTTGACTTATCAGGAATATGCTGCTACCCATTTCCTATTTCAGTTCTTCTCTGTTACTTTTTGTGACACACATGCAATGATATGGGATAGTGGATATTCTTACACCGCCACTACATGGTACTCTAAACACATATTAATTAAATGTACTGGTGGTAGATTTTATTTATGTATTCTTGGTACAACCAAAACTAATTTAAAGTGTTTTAATTTTAGGCAACAGGTGACATAGTTGATGATGAAAGTTCCCCTAATGGGTTAGCAGGTGGTTGGGACTATGCTAATGAAAAATTTGATATGAACGTACCAGAAAGAATACTAGTAGTTGGACAAGACCAGCATATAGGTAACTATTTGTTAGAGGTTATGTAAAAAGTACATACATTGACAAATTTGAAGAATCCAAAAGAAAATTATTAATTTCTCCTGTTGTAATTATCAAGTTTCTGGTTATTAAGATGCATTCGAAATAGAGACGGCATGCATAAGAAACTTAAAAAAGACCCTCAAAATGACATACTACGAAAAACTTACTGTCGCTACCGTAACTTCTGCAATTCCCTTCTTAGGAAGATTAGGATAGCATATAATAGAGAACGGATAAATAAGGCTGGAAATAATAACAAAAAATTATGGAACACTATCAGAGATGTTACGAACATGAACAAACAGCGCTCCGACTGCAACAACCTCCCCACTTTTATGTCCACTACCTCCCAATCGCTAGATAGTACAAATGCTTTTTTTGCCAATATTGGTAAATCTCTCGCTGAGGATATACTTCTTGCCTCCACTCCCTCCCCCCAAAATTCCCAATATCTTGCTCAAATCAGACCTTTGTCCTCCTCAATACCACTCCATCCGAAGTTGACTCCCTCATCTATCTTTAAATACGGAAAGGATTTAGTTGTTCCTGCTATATGCCATATATGCAACCTGAGTTTTTCGTCAGGTTGCTTCCCTGATGCCCTCAAGAAAGCCCTAGTTCACCCCATTCACAAGAATGGGGATCGAAACCAGCCCAACAATTACCGCCCCATTTCTGTCTTACCCGCCTTGTCTAAGATACTGGAGAGACTGATTAATAACCAGTTAATCAATTTCCTAGAGAAAATGAACTTATTGTCCCCTGGACAATTTGGTTTTAGATCTGGCAGATCCACAGCAGATGCTGTTCACTCTCTTACGGATGATGTGATCAGAAACTTAGACAAGGGTAATAAATTATTTTTTTTTTTTGATTTTTTTGTAAAAACGTTACCCCCACACTAGGATTTTCTCCTGTATCGTGGAGGCAGTTTACAAACACAAATTGCACAAGGACAAACATCCAGACCCGGAAAAATTATTTGTAGGCCATACAAATACTTGTTCCGTGCGGGATTCGAACCCGCGACCCCCAGCGCAGCAACTCATTGCTAAGCCACTGCGCCATGGAGCCGTAAATGCCTATCGGTCTTCCTCGACTTGGCCAAGGCGTTTGACACGGTTTCGATTCCCATTCTCCTGACTAAGCTGGAGACAATTGGTGTCAGAGGTACCCAACTATCTCTCTTCCGGAGCTATTTTTCAAACCGAAACCAGGCTGTCATTATCAATGGAAAAGTGAGTTCTGAACTACCCATAAATTACGGTGTCCCCCAGGGAAGCATTCTTGGCCCTACGCTTTTCTTGGTCTACATCAATGACCTCTGCTCTCTCAAAATCCCTGGCTGTAAGATTATCTCCTTTGCAGACGATACCGCGCTAATTTCCTCAGCCTGCTCCTGGAAAGATACCTTCCAACTTGCCCAATCCGGTTTAGACTTAGTCTCCCTCTGGCTCCTTACAAATCTACTCACTCTCAATTCCAAAAAAACTCAGTATATCACCTTCTCCCTTCGCAGCATTCCACTCAATGCATTTGACAATTTTCGCTTAATTGCTCATTCCCATTCTGACCTCCCCTCCTTCTCATGTAACTGTCTACCTCTTACCTCTACCGATTCCGCAAAATATTTAGGTATTATTATAGACAGTAAACTGACCTTCCAGCCCCACATCAACCTCACCGTTTGTAGACTCCGAAAACTCATGTTTGTTTTTAAAAATCTTCGCCAAGTCGCAGATCCGTGTCTGGTCAGATCAGTCTACTTAGCACTTTGTCAGTCACTTATAGTTTACTGTTTGACAAGCTGGGGTGGCACGAGTAAGTCAATTCTAATTAAGTTGGAATGAGCCCAAAGAGCGGTCCTCAAAGTCTGTACGTTTAAGCCCCTGTTATCACCAACCTTCGATCTTTACCAGTATTGTGAGGTTCTTTCCGTGCGCCAACTCTTTATTTTATTAATTGTCCTCAAACAACAGTAGTTGCAGCTATGATCCCTCTTTACTGTCTTCCCAGAGAAATCACCTGGTAGTACGTTCAACCTCGTTCAAAACCTTGAACACACAACGATTTTTCTGTTTCTTGGGCCCCTTCCTTTACAATAGACTACATTGTGAGCTCAACATCTTCCCTCTTACAAAACTGTTATGCAAATCTAAAGTCTCTAATTATTTGCAGACTATGAACTATGAGGAGACTGAATCTCTCCTTCATCCTATCAGGTAGGAAATATACTACCCCACACCCACTCCGACACACACACACACACACACACACACACCCACACACATACATCATTCACGCACACACACACACACACACACACACAACATTTCCTTCTTTTTTTCTCTTTTTTTTGTTACTAGTTTAATCATTATTCTGTACCAATATGACCTACATCCTGCGAGGAGTGACCTGGTGCTCTGAAACACAGGGTTTCAGCCTAGCTCAGATGCCAGTCTTTCACAATCTAAATAATTTTGTTCCTTGGTGTTAACCCCAGTTCATTACTATATTAGTTTTTAGATTGTGGAGAAAATAAAGAATTTTTATTATTATTATTATTTTTAAGTGTACTGGCCACAAACATTAGATAACACTATAAAAAAAAGTTAGGAATGTTTTTTTTATTGCTATTTTTCATACTGTTTACTCAATAGAGTTTGAGCATAAAATTTGTTTAAATTTTTGTCTTGACTGCCTTGTTTACTGTGTTAAGTGTGAATTATTACCGTAAATAAACTAAGAATGTCAGATCTAAACACCACTCAAGTTGCTAGGGCTATCTCTCTAATTGAAACTGGACACACCTACAAACATATGCCCAAACATTACGAGTATCAAATCTGTGGTACACCTAGTTGTCAAGAGATAGTGGACAGTATATGAAACTTGCAGGACAGAGACGTAAATGAAGAACTGGCCAGAGATAACCGGTTCATTGTTACTAGCATGTTTAGAAACCAGACCTCGAAGTTCTAAGGGTTACAGTAAGCTCAAAAACTGTGAGGAAAAGACTGAAACTGGCCCGAATAAATTCACACTTGCAGGCCAGAGGCCTTCTTCTTGCCACATGCTATTAAGTAGCTCTAGTTACTTTTGCTCACAATCACGAAAATTTTAATGACGAAGCTTGAAGTCTAGTTTTATTCACAGATGAGTCGCCACCACCTTAGACAGAAAGTTTCTTTGAGGTTACTTGCACTATGTTTGTCTCAAGTGTAATGAATGCTTCTTTTGTATATAGCATTATTTATGTTTATGTTGTTCAGGTGTTACATTTTTGGTTCATGCCAGAAAAAAATAAATATATATGGAATTGGATAAAACAAATATTTTGTTTGAATATGACAAGTCAAGTGGTTCTGAAGTTATACAATCACTAAAAGATGATCACTAATAGACACACCAATGAATATACTTTTATTTATAAGCATTACCTTATCTACCTGCAAAATGTTTTTGTTTGTGTAATTTTTAATGGAAATTATGGTCACAAATAAGCACACATCTATCCTCAATTAAGAATCAAAATGCAGATGTGTTGTTACCACTGAAGACTAGAATTGAATGTCCCATTACTGGTTAAAAGAGTATCTGGTTCTTGTCACTCAATACACAAAACACAGCAGTGCTAATTCACACTGGTATTAAGTTCTCCTTCTCCTTCTCCTGTTGAACCGACCCATTTGTGCTGCAACCTATTTCTACCGCCAAGCTTGCAACCTACCAAAAATACAACCACAGCTGTTTCAATTTCGAAGGTAAAAGAGTCAGTGTAAGTACAGACTTGTGAAGTATTTCATTTTCAATAAAGTCCTTAATGATGAAAATGCATCTGTAGCCTAGTTTCATTGCAGTTGGCTGCAGTGGCCATTTACTGTCAGATCAACTGATTACCTGTTTGTCATTCTAATATTATAAAAATCGCTAATGGACCTGAGCAATATGCTTACCTTAATCCTAATGGGTAGGTCATAAAATGAACATAGATAAACCGAAAGATCATGTTTAATGTTCATGTGTAATCTATACCGGTAGTTAGTGAAAACATTACACTCAATATGGAAGAATATACGAGTATGTGTATATACGAGTATATACCTGAGGCAAAATATCAGATTGTGTGCACAATTTCCTTCTTTCTTCGATCAGGAGTACAACTGACAAATCCAACTCTGCATAGCCCGCGTTTTGCTCGAAATTGTGTTACGCTTCACATCTAGTGAGTGTCAGTCTTGTACTGGCACATGCAGCCTGAAGCGACTACGCACTACAGAATGATGACCCGATAAAACATAAGAGTCGATGGATGAAGCCACCTGGACATGGTGATGTGCATGGTGGTAATTTATGAACAGGGACTTCTTTAGAGCTCTTGTGATGGGCTCTATGGTTCAAAAACAATACTAATAAATATTAATAATTAAAATAATAATATTATATACATAATGATTTCTTATATTTACGCGAATGCTTAAATTTAAGCACCAACGTTCCGGGAAGTCTGCAGTTTGTGATCATATCCTAGACGGCCCCCGTCATTACATTAGATTTGATAAACCACAAGTCCTCGTGAAAGAACACCGATTCCTGCCAAGGATGATATGTGAGGCTATTGAAATTAAAAAACATCCTAATTTCAATAGAGAGGGAGGCTGGGTACTACCACCTGCTTGGGATCCTGTAATTCATAAAATTAAAACTAAACCCAAGCATACCACTGTAAGACTTCAAGACACAGTTAGTTCATTCTGCGTAGATCGGACCAAAATTAATAATTAAAAAGCTGAAGGTACTCCGGGTTAACTTTGACATGGGGACGTCAATCACCTCAGTGCCCCGTGACCACGGTTGCTGGAAAGCAACCGAAACGTCGGGAATATAAAACAAGTTAATTAAACGCGATAAAATCCGTAAAAATAGTTTTATTCAAATAGTTTTATTCAATATTATATACATTTTGGGAAATGCTTAATAAAAATAGCAATATTTTTTTTGTTATACAGGCACAAAAGCTCCCCCAAGGGAAATTCAATTGGATAATGCGGTACTGCCGACAGATCCTGGTATGATACGCGTGAACACTCCTCCGCGAGTAATAACTCTTGACCAGCACTACTTCCCTTCAGCTGATGACTTCCTCGCGGAATCGGCCAGCTCACCGCCAAGGAATGTGCGAACAACACGCTCGCAAGGCGACGGAGCGCGCGCTGCCACACCACGTTGCGATAATTTCAATGAGTCAACCATGACCGAGTCTCGAATTGTTTTGAGGTATCATTTCTTAAAATTATTTAATTTGCATGCCAAATGTTTTATAATCCTTAATATTTCCTATATTTTTCATTTTGTGCACACTAATAACAAATATTCATTATACAAGTAGGAATGTAATGTGTGAATGTATCGGAGATAGAGAGCAATTATGTTAGAAACCAGTTGCTTATACAATTAATTATAGTAAAACCAAATTAGAGTGTTAATGCTATGATAGCTCGCTGGTAAAGCTGTTTTTTGTGCGCCTTATTCGGGGCCTTTAAGGGGCTATAAGAACTTGTTCCCAAAAGGCTAACAGATCTTATGTGATGGACCAGGACAGGGCTCTGGTAGCCGAGAAGTAGTTAATCATTTAAAAATGTCGGAAAACACCGAATATATCACATATATATCACAATATTCACAGATTAGTAATGGGGTGCAGGATCTACAGTAAGAACGGACCGGCATTGCACTCACTACCGTCTAGATTGGTGAGCAATGGCGAACTGTTTTTCAAATCACTTATCAACTATTCTAATTTTATTTTTAAATCACTTATCCGCGTTTCTGATTCTATAATTTTGTCTTAGGTTCATGCACATACATATTTAGCAACAACTAACTTAGCTTGGTGTTACCAACCACTTCTGGTGTAAATAACTTCACGTTTGTAACTGTATAAATTTATTTAATTTTAGAGATCCAACACCACCAATGGGAAACGGCGAAGGTCTTTCAACTGCTGAGGAGCTGGTTCATTTGAGAAGACAGATTGTCAAATTGAATAGGCGTGTCATGTCAATTGAGGCTGAACAATTACAACGTCAGCAGAAAGAAAAAATAGCTTACGCTATTGGAATTGCCTACTTATTGTTCAAAATGATTGCTTGGCTCAATCGATCTTAATCATAAGATGAACTATTTAATGAATTGTTGACATTATGAAAACTATTGGTTGAAGCCATTCTAAATGTGGCATGAAGTTTAGAATTGTCCTTAACATGGTATAGAAAATGGGATATGTTATAAATATTTCCTTGAAAGTTATAATTTCTTAGTTTTAGGCAATCTTTTTTACAACCTGTGTACATTTCTGCAATTTGTTGTACAGTGAATATACCAGCAATTGTTTATAAACCACCCAAAACTTCTTTACATCTCATGAACTGCGTATGAATTGTGAATTACATATTTTTCACAACTATGAGAAGGTGTGCTGTAGGTCATTTTTATTCAAATAAACGATAGAATCCAAATAATATGTGTTGCTTATTTATTTTAAGCTTATTATAAGGTGTGGTCCAAAAGTAATGATAATGAATATTAAACACGGTGATTATTGTGAAAAAATAATTTATTTTTCTACACAGTCTCCAAACAAGTCAATCATTTTTTTAAACTCAGAATTCCCTTAGCAAAAAAAATCTTATGTTGATCCTCCAAATAAGTCTCAACAGCCTCCATCAATCACTTCGCTATCACCTGCAAATTTCTTGCCTTGAAGGAGTTGTTATCGCCAGCAACGCAAAGTCAGGAATTTGTATTTAGAATAACCCAAAATTAGGGGCTCACCTTCGCAGCTTCGGCTTATTGGTCGCCCTCGGCGACCAGCATCAGCCTCTACGGCTCGCAGATTTGCCTGCGATTTGCCATAGCGGGCTGGGGCTGTTCTCCCTCCGCGCCTACGGCTTTACAAAAACACTAGGGGTAGGACAGACACGACTAGGTGGAGTCCCAGACTCCACGTAGTCGTGTTTTGTCGTCGTTCTGATTCGGTTTTTGGTACTGATTCGACCTATCTTTAACTATAATAAACTGATAAAGAACAAAAATGCCGTTCGTACCTTATAGTAAGGTAATGGTGGTCCTGGACCCGATAATTCTCAGAATATATAGTAGATAATAGTGACATCTATCGAAAATCATAAAATGTGAAAAAGTTTAATTTCTAATCTATAAAAAGTTTTGATTTTCTCTAAATAAACTGATAAAAACTGTAGGTAATTATTGCAAAACTCACTATCCATATTATAGTTTAAATAAAGACATTTTTATATATGTATTAGCCAGATCTTAGAATTAATAATATCATAAAGTAGTCAATTATAGCACGAAATGAGGGCATTTAATTAACATTGTTTTTGACTATATCATGATGTAGCTTGACCAAATCGATATTAACAACTAAACACAACATTGCTATTTCTTCATATTGTTATATCTATACATATAATAAACCTGTAGAAAAGTCGTGTCTGTAATTCTAATATTTTATTGGAAAAATAAGTCCAGGGCACTGAAGCCAAATTAGTGGTTTTTAGAATTTTTGTGTCTGTCTGTATTCCCCATGAAGCTAATACAAAGGGGAGACGGCATAAATAACTGTGCACTGTGATTCTAAGTAGGTCCTGACGTCATCATAGTGGGCGTGGCTTTAGTTAGTTTACTGTCAGCATTCGTCCTGTGCGCTTATGTGTTGAAAAAATCGCAAATCGGTGTATTTTCGTAGTATTAAAAAGAAAAGGATGAAGTGTTGTGTTTTATTGTGTAAAAACTACTCAGATAGACGCTCTGATGTTATGGATGGCATCACATTTCATTTGTAAATATTTTTGCACCTAATTTATTAAAATAGTTCTAGAAAAATCTCTGCGTCGGCTTTCAAATATAATTAAATATATTCGACACTAGATGGCGAAACTTTGTGTCATGTGAACTAAAAATGTAAAGGTAGATCTCAGTATTGATAAAATAAGCATACGAAGGTGCTGAAATTTGTTTTGCATTCAGACATAAAGAAATTTTAATCGCAAAATAGCATTTTTATAGTTTATAATCATTTTGAGAACAGGCCGTATTCTCGTCAAGTAAACCTCATAAAAAGACAAGGCCCTAATTAGAATTCAATTATTTTTCCCAGTAATCCCACTTTTAATATTAAATGCAGGAAATTGTACTTAGGCTGATTTTTACGAAATGTTTAAGTTATATTTAAGTGCCATTCTATATGCAAAGAATCACTTAAATACAATTTAATGTTCTTAGATTGGCATTCAAAAAGTGCATTCGGATGCCTAGTTTGGAATAAAATATTTATATTTTAATTGATTTATAAATAAAATTATATTAATTATAATAATTTGTCTATTATTTGTTCTCCCTCAGAGATATTAAGTAGTATAACCCACACATAAATAATAATCCAGCCGTTTCTGCGTGAAAAAATTACACATACTTAGTGTGGAATAAGCTCAAGGAGACAGAAAGAGCACACAAAATTTCGCCTTTATAATATTAGTGAGATAAGTAGGATATTTAGTTCCAAATTAAATATCCTACTTAATATTGAACATAGAATATTTAGTTTCAAAGAGACTTTATTTTATGGATAAAATAAATATTTCTTGGTTGACTTTCACGAAATGACAAACATATTTAAATTGTATTTAAGTGATTCTTTGCATATAGAATGTCACTTAAATATAACTTAAACATTTCGTAAAAATCAGTCATGTACAATTTCCTTCATTTTAATATTGAATGTTGGGTTACTGGGTAAAATAATTGAATTGTAATTGCGGCCCTGTCTTTTTGTTATTTTTTATGAGGTTTACTTGACGATAGATGGCGGCCTGTTCCCAAAATTATTATGAAAACTATGAAAATATTATTTAGGCGATTAAAATTTCTTTGTCTGAATGTATTTGCTTCATGAGATAGACGCTCCAATGCTATGGATGGCATCACATTTCATTTGTAAGTAATTTTACACCTAATTTATTAAAATAGTTCTAGAAAAATCTCTTTGCGTCGGCTTTCAAATATAATTAAATATATTCCACACTAGATGGCGACACTTTGTGTCCTGTGAACTAAAAATATAAAGGTACGTAGAGCTCAGTAATGATAAAATAATCATACGAAGGTGCTGAAATTTCTTTGCATTCAGACATAAAGAAATTTTAATCGCCAAAGTGTTATTTTTAAAGTTTATAACATTTTGTGGACATGCCGCCGTCAAGGTAGCTAAGCTACATTGCAACATCGATATGAAAAGATTCGAGTAGTTTTACTATTTATCGGTAGATGTAGATAGTGTAGTGGGCGGGGCTTTGCATCCCCTCACCCGCAAATTGTCACGCGTTGTTACATAGTGAAATTTAATTACAACGTCTCCTTTTTGTATTTGCTTCATGGTATTCCCGATTCACGCAAAAACTACTGGACAGATTTCCATGTGTGTAGGTAGTTAGGGACCCGGGGCAACTTATAGGCTACTTTTTATCCGATTGCGGAACTTCAAAAAAGGAGGGTTAAGTATTTTCCTCCCTCAAGATGTTAATTTCTATTTTATTTTATTGGTTATTGATGTGTTTTTTAAATAAATAACATATTTATAAATAAATACTAAAATTAGTTTTAACCTTTGCGTAATAATTTGAATTACGCCGATAATACACGTTTTACTTTATTGAAACAGTGCAAATTCAAGAAGTAATAACATTTTACCTCCAGTTACTGATAAATAAAATGAAAATAAATAACTTACATTTATACGTTTAAATTATTTCATTCTTCAAATTAAAAATTATAATGTTCATTTTTCAGTTCTTTCGTTATTTTATTTTAGTAGGAATTAATAAACTTTATGGTAACTAATTACTACTTAAATATATGATAATGATCATCTATCGAAAATCATAAAATGTGAGATGTTTCTGAGTTTGATTTCTAATCTATAAAAAAATTTTGTTTATCTATAACTAAACTGATAAAAACTGTAATTATTCCAAAACTCATTATCCACATAAAAAGATTTTTATATATGGCCATATCTTAGAATTAATAATATCATAAAGAAGCGTCAGTAGCTTAATGGCAGGGCGCGGACCGGGAACTCGAAAGGTCGTGGGTTTGAATCCGCCATTCGACTACTGTCGTGAACCACTTCTAACACAAGCAATTTAAGCTTATCACAAGTGCTTAAAGGGAATATTAGTAATGTTTATAGCATTACTAGTATTTAAAAAAAAAGTGGTCGATTATAGCACGAAATGGTGCCAATTAATTAAATTTACCAATGTTTTTGACTATCATGATATAGCTTGACCAAATCAATGAATAGAGATAGTTTGGCGATATTAACAACTAAACACAATATTGCTATTTCTTTATATTGTTTATATCGAAAAATACTTTCAGCGCTGATAGCGTATTTTTGATAGAAGCAGAATTTTTAATAGAATCTACATCATTTTATGCCTAATTTATGTATTATATAAAATATAAACTTTGTTGTAACCTATTGTCGCTGAGTATTAGAGAGTACAGTTTTTGTTTTCATAGTTTTAATCTCATAATATCGCCATCTACTTACTGCTAAATAAACAAATAGTAAGCAACTGATGAAATTAAGAAGAATTCTATTGAATACTTATTGTTCTAGCATCAAAAATTATCAGACTTAAAATATCCGAACCGGTGTCGGGATGATTTATCATAATTGTCACTTTTACTGTGTACCTAAACAAAACATTGATTAATACAGAATGTCTTCACTCTTCAGTTGAATATGTTGGGTGTCTCTCAGCATAGCAATATGTCACCAACTTATTGATTTGTGAAAGTTGGGTATGGCAGAAGAAACATGAAAGCAGAATAATTGCAGTTGAGATGAGAGCGTTAAGAAGTACGACAGGAATTAAACTGAGTGACAGGATAAGAAATAGTGAGATAAGGAAACGTTGTGGTCTGAAAGAAGATGTAGTGACAAAAATTGAGAAAGGTATGCTGAGATGGTTTGACCGTGTCGAGAGAATGAATGAAGAACGTTTGACGAAAAAGGTGTAAAAGGCGAGTGTGAATGAAAGTGTTGGAAGGGCCTTAGACCTAGGCGGACGTTTCTAGATCAAATCAGGGACGTCTTGAAAAAAGGCCAGTTCAAGAGTACCCTAAACCGAAGAACATGTATGAAGGGAATAATGAAAGTGGACGAAGCGAAACAAGTATGTAAGGATCGTAGCAAGTGAAAAGAAGTGGTCTCTGCTTACCCCTACGGGAAAGAGGCGTGATCAGTGAAGTGGTAAAGAATAACTTGGCGGCGAAATCTTGATGTAAGTAGTTTTAAAAAAATAATCGTGGACACGTAAAACCACTAATTTGCACTGTGCACAGTCGTAAGACGTGTGTAAGCTGCTTCTTTACTTTTTTACTTTTAATGAGACTTTTAAAACAAGCTTTCATGTTTTCAGACATACCTACCTATTGAGATTTTTGTGACAGTCCCGATTTCATAGCTGACATGAGTAAATGAACAGGCTCTTGCGAAAAAGTACTATAAATATCAACGAAAGCAAATTTTAAACGCATGTTTATTTTAATTTTAACTATGAGTAGAACTACATTGATAGAATCTTGAAAGTTATCCGGTAATCGAAACGCAAATTTCATTAAGCAACCCAAATTGGATCCGCACCGACACCAATCATATTTTAATTGCAATTTGAAGTTTCGATTTATCACGTTCTCGGTGGTGAAAGAAAATATCGCGAGAAAACCTACATATTTGAGAAGTCAAAAAATATTTCGGAAATAATTTTTAGGTTTACTTATGTGAAGTCGGTCAACCCGCGTTGGAGTCAACTCAAACAACTCTTTTTTGTTCTAAAACTCGCTTCGGCCTATCCCCAGTAGTGGGATGTACCTATGTAGGCTGCTACTTTTTTACTTTTAATAGGCCTATCCACAGTTGATCATAGGCTTCTCCCATTGTTTGTCAAATAGGCCGGATATTTGTAGTAGTAGCCACGCTTGGCGAGTGGGTTGGCAACCGCAGCTTTTTATTACTCTGCACTGTTATCAGGAAGATGCTGGCATCCATCTCCTGTTTCAGTTTACCTTCTGTCACCTCTTACGACATCCACGAGATGAAATGAGGTATTGGTTTCTATTTCGCCGCCTCTACATTGATAATACTACCGTGGGCAAAAAAAAAAAGACTTTTTAATTTAAATTTCGCGCGGAACTCCATTCCTCGAAATTTTATTCTACGTTGGAACGACTGTCAGTGACATCTGTGCCAAATATCACATGAAAGTAATCATTAGTGTTTAGTATATGCTTGTCTTTCTGAAGTACAAAAAGTGCATTCGGCGATTTTTACAATGAGTAAAATTATTCAACAAAGAAGTTCCATTAAATTTTGTGTGCGGAATCAAATTTCTGGTGCCGAAACGTTCAGAATATTGCAAAAGGCCTTCGGTGATAATTGTATGTTGCGAGCAAATGTTTATGATTGGTACAAATTATTCAAAGAGGGTCTAGAACGCGTTGACGACGAACCACGTCCAGGACGGCCATCAACATCAACTGATGATCAACACGCCAATAAAATCAAGGAATTCGTGCTCGAGAATCGACGATTAACAGTCAGAGATCTTACTGATATCGTTGGAATATCGGAAGGATCAGTGAAAACCATTTTAAAATATCATTTGCGCCTAAGAAAAGTGAATGCACGATTGGTTCCAAAATCACTCAATTTTCTTGAAAAACAGCGTCGCGTCTGTGACGTCTGTGAAACAATGCTTTCCGACTACCAGGATGTCATGAAACTTATTATAACTGGCGACGAGTCTTGGATTTACCTTACGACCCGGAAACTGGCGATCAATCGGCCGAATATCGTGCCAAAGGTGAGCCGAAGCGATGTTGCAGGCAGGCAAGCATGTTGACAGTTTTCTTCGATCATCGAGGTGTGACAATTTAATGAATTAAATTAACAGTGAATTCATAACGAGATAATGATGATTAATGGCTTGTTTATTTTTTTAGTTTAGTTTTTTTTTTATTTCATTTGGAAGCAAATCAATGTTAGGTAGCATATTATATAACTGTATATCAATGATGAACTGTTGTGAGCATTAGAAAAGTCAACTAGTACTACCAATAATTGGTAATTTTATTTAAGAAATGATAGATTTGACCGGGTAGAAACCAGATTGATAAGTACTCTGTGGGTTAAGCATTAATTTAATATTATAATTTACAGCGCCAGTATCTTCTTCTTTTAAATTATGTCTTCCCTTGGTAGGATTCTGACAGTGCCAAATCAGTCATGGGAGTGACAAGTAAA